TGTGGCACATGGTAGGCACCAATAGATGGCAGCTATTAATCAATAATAATGAGGATATTATTTCAGTTAGTTTTGAACACTGATGAAATTTATTTTTTGGATGGAGACATTCTGCCATAATATTCACCTATACTGTTGATCCAGTCTTAGGTCAGAGCTGACTTAAAAACAGAAAAGCATATCCTCCCCTGTAAATTCTCCCCAGAAGTTTAACTGTGGGGGTCTATGGACCTAGAGCTCATGCCAACTATTTACTTCAGTGTGGACTGTCCACTTAGAGGTTAGTAAAATGATTCCAGAGTCCTTTATTCCAACAAGATTGGAGTGCCACCATGAGGTCAGCTTTGGTGCTGGCCATATTTACTTGAATTCTGTCCTGATTAGAAGAATATTTGGGCAGTTACATTTACAGTGCATTATACTTACATTAAAGCCTGAAAAATACATTCTGTTGCCTCTTGATGGCAAAAAAAATGTACAAAAAGTATAAGAGTTTGGATTTCTTAAGTATTTGATTTGGATTTCTAAATTACTAGAGGACTGGTGAATCTTGAGAATTTGAAACTGAACACTCTAGCCCCAGGGAGAGGGAGATTTTTGTCTTAATGTGAATGGCTGCTGGGTTTGTTATCTATAGCCAATCACCCTCTCCTCAACTTACATTTTAATTAAGATCCTGAAGCTGTGATCTAGAAGTTTCTAGCTCCCTTTGCAAAAAAATAATAATTTCTATTTCCAAATGACCATTAGAAACTCCACTCAGGTATCCCACAGATATCTCAAACTCAACCTACTCAAAATTCAACTTATCTTCACACAAACCTAGCCCTCCAACACTCCTCATCTTCATGGACAGAGCCACCTTCACTCAGTCACCTAAGTTTGAGACCTGGGAGTTATCTTTCGTTTCTCCCTCTCCCCTAATCTAACTACATCCAATCACTAAGGGTAATCAACTTTTCCATCTTAATGTCCTTTAGGTCTGCTCCTTTCTCCTCTTCCCTTTTGCTACTGTCTTCTTCCCTCACTGGACAATATTCTTCTGGTCTCCCTGACTCCAGACTTGCCTCTGTTCCATGTTGCTGCTAGAGAGTGATCTTTCAAAATTAAAAACTGTTTGTAATACTGGCTTAACATCCTTTAATGGCTCTCAGTGCCTACAACATCAAGTCCAAACTCCTTGGTTTACCCATAAGGCGTAAGAGTGAGTCCTTACCCACCTGTCCAGCTCCATCTCTTGCTGCATCATCCGCTTCCAGCTTTCTTGAACCACTAGTAGATGCCTAAACACGACAGGCTGTTTTTGTGTCTCCTTACATTTGTGGCTACTGTTCTCTTTACTTCGAATAGCTTTATCTGGCTCATCTAATTTATCAACATCTTATTTTTAAAGGGTATGCAAGCTTTATCTCCTCTACAAACCTTTCCTAACTTTCCACAAAGCCCATCCCACCTACCACCACAACGTGACTACTCCCTTACCTCCTATAACTTGTATTACAGTGCCTAGAGAATTTTCTTGCTCTGTCTGAAAAGAGCTCTGTATCCTTAGCAGATTTTAAGCTACTTGAGAGCAAGGACTGTGTCTAATCTACTTCTGCATCCCTAGGCCCTAGTCCATGCCAAGCACACTGTGAAAGAAACAACAACAGAGTTTGTTGAGTGATAAGCAGGAAGTGGAGGAGAGAAAGGTTTTCAAAAACATGCTTTTAGGGCATGGAGTGATCGCTCTGTTCATAACAACAAGATATCGCAACTAGCTCCCGCTGCAGTGTTATACAGACTTTGTGTTCTCACTTGCTACAGTTGAGAAACCATGTGTGTCCACCAGTCAGGCCATACTGGTTTTTGGAGAAATTCCAGTTATACAAAACCATGATTCAATTTCCTCACCACTTTTATTGACGATGGTTTTAAATTGTTTTGTTTTGTTTTTTTCCCAAGAGGAAATGGTCCCTTAATGAGTCAGCTAGACGTTGTCAAGGTAGGAAATGATATAAATCTGACAGTTTTCATTTGACTTTTTTCATTCATTCAACCAAAATTTATTACAAAGCATCAAGCAAAAGACATAGATCCTCTCCTAAATCCACACGTTTGGCAGTTTCAGGGATCTTTGTCTATTTCATTTCACTTCATTAATTCAACAAGATTTATTGACCACTTGCTATGAAACAGCCTCCATGCTAGGCAAACATAATATGAAGATAAATGAGATATAGGTCTTGCCCTCAAAAAGCTCAAAGTCTGGTAGAACGTGGATGGTAGATGTAGAAACATCTGGTAGATGTAGAAACATAATTACAGTGCAACAGGAAAAGAGTTCATATAGAGGTATTTATGAAGTGGCATGAGAATTCAAAGAAAGAAGATGATCATGTCAAGGAGGGGCATTCATGGTAAGCTTCACAGAGGCGAGGACATATAAACTGAGGTTTGAAGAACATCAGGAGTTTGCCAGGGAGGAAAGAGAGAGAGGACATCCCCAAAAGAAAGGAAAACACGGATAAAGGTTCAGAGTTAAAAGAAGCAAAGCTGAAAGGAGACAGAAAAACTATAGCTGAGAGAGAAGATAAGTAACTTGCTTAAGGTCACACAGCTGGTAAGTAAAAGAGCTGGTGGGAGTTGCACCCAAGCTGAAGTTACTCATGGCAGTGTGTCATATTTCTGGAGAGTGTTGAGACTCACTGCTCAGGCCCTGGCATACAAGTCACAGGAGCTCGGACCACAGTCAGCAGACAACGGGGAATCACGACAAGTTTTTAAGCAGAGGAGCAACACGGTCCCATTTGGACTTTAGAAAGATAATTCTACCAGTAATTCTTTTTTTTTTTTTTTTCCTTTTTCTCCCCAAAGCCCCCTGGTACATATTTGTATATCCTTAGTTGTGGCATGTGGGATGCTGCCTCAGCGTGGTTTGATAAGCAGTGCCATGTCCGCGCCCAGGATTCAAACCAACGAAACACTGGGCCGCCTGCAGCGGAGCGTGTGAACTTAACCACTCGGCCACAGGGCCAGCCCCCTACCAGTAATTCTTAACCCTGACTTCAATTAGAATCACTTGAGAAGCTTTCAAAAATTACAGGCCAGGGAGCTACTCCAAAACAATTAAACCAGAATTTCCAGGGGTGGGACTTAGTTTTCTTTTGTTTTGTTTTTTTAAGTTCCTTAGGGCATTCTAATGTGCAGTTAGAGCCAAGAACTACTGCTCTAGGAGAATGGACTGAAAGATGGAAAAGAACTTAATAAGCACCTACCATGTTTGAGATTTTCTTCCAAATGCTTTATACAATAACTATAATATATATATTAATTATATATATAAAATCTTAATATGCAGATTATAGGTTATAGTTATCCGTGGAATTATATATATTTGTATATATAAAATCCTAATAGATAGATAGATATACAGGGAGAGAGAGAGAGAGAGATAGTATCCTGACCCATTTCAACCATTTTGAACCCTGTGTGGTGAACAATCACATTACTCCTAGCCTTCAAGGTAGATATTACAATCCTATAATCCCTATTTAACTAATGAGGAAGTTGAGATACAGACTAGTGAAATAACCCATGCAAGATTATTAAATTATTGAATGATACAACTGGATTCACACATAAGCCTTTCTGACACCCAAAACTTTTGGGTGTCTCTTTACTATACACCATGCTCTTTACTATACACCATTGCCTGTGAGCCTAGTTTAATCCTCAGAGTAATCCTGAGGTAAGTATCATGATCCTCATTTTACAAATGAGGAAATTAGTCCTAGAGTAGTTAAATCAACTAGGTATCTTAGCATGTTCAAAACATAACAACTGATTCCACCCCCCATGCCTCATCCTCACCAAAAAGCTGTTCTTCCCTTAATCTTTCCTTGCTCAGTAAATGGCATGTCATCTACCCAGGGTTTTGAGCCAAAAACCTAGAAGTGATCTTTGATTCCTCTCTTTCCCTTACCTCCACATTAAATCTATCAGGTGCATTTAGCTCTACCTCCAAAATATATCCCAAATCTATCCATCTCTATCTTCATCAGCAGATACCACCCTAGTCCAAGCCACTATGATCATTTCTACTTTGGCCTCCGTTTCCACTCTTACCCTTTCAATTTTCCAAATAGCAAGAGTAATCTTTTACAAAACATTCACTCATTCATTCATCAAATATATATTCAGAGCACACAGGAATTGAGGATACAGCAGTGAAGCAAATTAGATCTCTATGCTCATGGACCTTCATTCTAGAAGGGAGAGAGGCAATGCACAAACAAATAATTTTGTACAGTGCAAATGCAATGAATAAATATAAAACTTGGTAAGCTAAATCATGTTGCTCTCTCAGTAAAAAATTTTGAACAGCTTCCCAGCATGCTTAGATTAAAATCCAAATTCCTTACCACGACCTTGTTCTAAGATTCTGAGGTCTGGCTTGTATTTGTCCCTCCAACCTTATCTGTATCACACTTCCTCACTGCAACTTGGCTCCAGTCACCCTGGCCTTCTTTGTATTTCCTCAATGTTCCAAATCTTTTCCAAACCTTCTTTAGGCATCGTTTCCTCTATCTGGAATGCTCTTCCCCAGATCTGGGAAAGGCTGTTTTCTCTTAGCCCAAATATCACTTCATCAGAATGAACCTGACTAATCAACCTAAAAGGAGCTCCCCCTCCCTTTCTCTATCAATTACACTGTTTTGTTTCATAGCACTTTTCACTTTCGAAAATTATCTTATTTAGTTAACAGTATCTCTGTCCTCACTAAAATGTAATTTTCCTAAGGCAAGGAATCTTGGGGTGTTGTTCAACAAAGAATCCCTAAAAGTCTAGAACAAGACCCGGCATAAGAGGATCTTGATAAATACTTTTTCAAAGAACAAATAAATAATGACGGACTACATGACGATAAAACGGCCTCCATCTCTCACAGGCGCCAGGCCCCGCCCCCCAGGCCCACTTCCGCCCCCGGCCTAGCCCCGGACCTCCTGGGAGAAGAAGGCCTCTGCGCAGGCGCTGTGGGACCGCGGAGCTTTCTGGGTAAGCATGGATGCTCACGATCTCTTTCGCCGGCTTGGCGCCGGGGCTAAATTCGATGTGAGACGCTTCTCGGCCGACGCAGCCCGATTCCAGGTACCGTGCGCTGGGGCACAGAAGCTTTAGTAACTAAGAAGAAGCCAGAGCATGAGAATGAAGTGGGTGCAGGGAGAGCCCACACTCGGGGACCCAGTGGCCTGGCTGTGGGGCATTTTCCCTCCTGCCTTCGGCTGAGCCGCACACCTCCTCGTGAAGTCCCGCCTTCTGAGTGGGCTCTTTTACCATCCTTTTGTAGACTTAGTTGGGCCTGGCACAGAAACGCTTTCTCCTCCCTCTTCGTAGTTTATTGAAAACACAGTTGGAATCCTTCTTTCAAAAGTAACTTTTTCTCTGAACCTGGTGTAAAGGAATATCGAAAACAGGATCAACCCCAAATGGAGAGAACAGATCCTTTCACTGTAGTCTGTCCAGGTTTCGCTTGGCATAGATATAGCTTTAGTGAGCATGGTTTCTTTTATTCCCGCATCCCCACGGCGTGTGAAGTAACCAATGAGAAGAGCGGTTTAGAAATGGGGGATCTTACGTAGAGAAGTAGTGAGCGCGTAATAAATCGAGAGAAGTTGGTAGGGGTCCAGTTATGGAAGATCTTGAATGTCAACCTTAGTATCGGAACTAGGGACGTGTGTGTGTGTGTTTGTGCGCCCGCGCGCGCGACACGCGTGTTTCATCTTTCTCTGACTGGCAGTATAGTGTAGTTGTTTAGAATTTGAACTCTGGAGCCAGATTATTCAGGTCCACATCCTGGGTCTGCCAGTTACTAGTTTTGAGACCTTGATCAAGTTACTTGACCTCGTAATGCCTTGATATTGTCATCTGTTGTATTACTCTTTGCTTAGTAGGGTTATTGAAGGTTGCAGTAGTTTTATATGTATACTTAGAAATCTGCCTGACATCGTATGTTACTCTGATAAGTGTATATGTGTTAGTTGCTGCTATGATTATTATTACTGTTAAGGTCAGAAAAGGTGTCATCCTGGATTCCATTTGCCCAAACACGCTTGTCAGCTCAACAGATATTTCCTGAAAATGTGAAAAAGACGAGGAGTCACTGGACCCATGTTCTTACTGCCAGTACTGCTTGAGTGAAAGCTATGCCAGTCTGCCAGTAGATTTCACTTAAAATTTTTTGGGTTTTTAGGTAGGAAAAAGGAAATATGACTTTGGTTCTTCGGAGGTCCTGCAGGGACTGGACTTTTTTGGAAATAAGTCTGTCCCAGGTGAGTGTGGAGCGTCAAGAACTCATCAGGAGCTCCAGGATGAAGAGAAAAAAGAGAGCCTAAGTGAAGGGAAGAGGGAGCAAAACAAGAAAAAGAGGAAGAAGATGACTTCAGGTTAGTGCCTGGTTTCTGTCTTTTCTCATTTAATTTTTTTTCAATTACAAAAATAATACAAGTTTATGGTTACAAATCAAACAATATATAGTCATTCATCAGTTGATGGCATTTGGGTTGTTTCCAGGTATTTGCCATTACAAATATTGCTACAATAAGGATACTTGTACATATATCCTTTTGTACAGGTGCTGTTATTTCTGTAATAAGCATGCCCAAAGTGGAATCACTGGCTGAAAGGGTATGCACACTTCTTTCTTTGAACAAATACTGCAAAATGACTTCCCGCACCCATGTCAATGCTGGATACTGTTGGTCTTAAATTTTTTGCCAATCTAATGAATGAAACTATTTTTTATTTATATTTTCTTGATAAATGGTGAGGTTGAGCATCTTTTCATATGCTTTACTGGATATTTACGTTTCAACTTTTGTGAATTGTCTGTTCTTACTCTGCCTGTTTTTCACAGGATTTTTTTCTGTACTATAAAGGTATTTATCTTTTTCTTATGTCTATTAAGTTTCCTAGCCATTTACCTTTTTTAATAAAGTAAATGGTCACATAAGGTTTTTAAAAGTTATACAATGGTGAAAAGTAAATTTTCTTCCCACGCTTTTCTCTCTAGTTCCCTGTTTCTCCAGAGGCAACTGCTATTAATCAATTTATGTATTTTTGTAGAGATAGTCTATTCATATGTATTTATACCTCCCTTAAAAAACATGAATGAGGCAGCTGGCCCCATGCCGTAGTGGTTAAGTCCAGCGCCCTCCACTTTGGCGGCCCACATTCATGGGTTCAGATCCTACATTGCTCATCAGCCATGCTGTGGTGGCAACCAACATACAAAATAGAGGAAGATTGGCACAGATGTTAGCTCAGGGCTTATCTTTGTCTAGGAAGATTGGCAACAGATGTTAGCTCAGGGTGAATCTTCCTCAGCAAAAACAACAACAACAAAACATGAATGATAGCATACTTGATATGCTTTCCTTTTTTGAACCTTCCCTACTCTTCCTACCCTTTTTAAAAAAACAATGTAGCTTGGAGATTGTTTGGAACCAGTAGGAAGTGCACTGCCTTGTTCATTTTAACACAGCATAGTATCCCATTGTATGTTCCATCACTGACTTAACAAATTCCTATGTCATTCTACTTATCTTTGTGGATATGTGTGAGTATATCTGTCTGATAAGTTCTTAGAAGTGGAATTTCAGAGTTAACAAATAGACTTATTTTAAATTTAGATATTTTGGAATTGTCCATCAGAAACATTGTATCGGTTGGAAGTCCACTGCTTTGTTCATTCAATCATAGCATAGTATCCCATTATACATTGTAGTGATGTTCCATAATTTGACAAGTTCCCATGGACATTTACTTTGTTTCCACACTTTTGCTGTTACATTATTACAATAAAAGTTATTTTACTTCCTTGGCTGCAAGGAGGTTTGATAAAGCCTTCTACCAAGATTAGTGAAAAAAAAAAAAAAAAAAGGGTCCAGCCCCCCTGGCCAGGTGGTTAAGTTCCCGCACTCTGCTTTGGCGGCCCAGGGTTTCGCTGGTTCGGATCCTGGGCGCAGACATGGCACCGCTCATTGGGCAATGCTGAGGTGGCGTCCCACGTGCCACAGCTAGAAGGACCCACACTAAAAAATATACAACTATGTACTGGGGGGATTTGGAGAGAAAAAGCAGAAAAAAAAAAAAAAAAGACCTGCCACAAATTTAGGAAAAGGATTTAAATGTTGGGCAATCAGAAGCACACAGATATGTGCTATAACCAGTTAGCAACAAATGTGTACAGACATATATAGTTTAATTGGAAAATTCAGGATCTTTTGGATTAGTAATTATTTGGGTCTATTAATACCCACTGTCGCATAAAAGTGAGCATAATCTTATTTTTTTAAAAAAACTCATTCTACTTTGTGTGTCCCACCAGCAATGTATGAGAGTTTTCTTTTTCTATAAATGTGTCTCATGTATTTTGTCCTTTTTCTATTAGAGTGTAATCTCCTTAATTTATTAGGCCTCATATATGTTAAGGAAATTAACTCTAAGTCTAGCATATTACGTTTACAAACGTATTCTAGTTTGTCATCTGTCATTTATCTTCTTCCTTTCTTTTTGCCATTTTATGTGTTAAATTTATCTTTTCCTTTATGTTTTTTTGGTTTGGGTTTTGGTTTTGCCTTCCAAGCATTAAGCTTATTTTTAAAAAATTCTCTTATTTTTTTAATTTTTAGTTTCATTTTGTTATTTTGAAATCTTCTATCCTCTGGGATTTTATTTGATATAAGGACTGAATAGGGGACTAATTTAATTTCGTTCCAGATGGCCAACTTATTGTCCTAATATATTGATAATTCATCTTTCCCCTATTGGATTTAAATGCAACTTTTATTGTAAACTTATTTTCCATATATATTTGAGTCTATCTCTGGGCTCTGTTCTGTTTCATTGACTTATATTTCTGTGTTCATACACCAACACCAGCTTGTTTTAATTACTATGGCCTTATAATATGTTATAAAATCTGGTAGAGTGCTGTGGCATATCATGTTTGTTGATTGGGCAACTGAATATTTTCTCCCTAAAAGGATCTGAAGAATCAATGAAATCCTAATTAAAATTCTACTAGGTTTTTTTTTGATGGAAATTGACAAAGACCTTTTAAAAAAGAAATTGGGGCCGGCCCGGTGGCACAGCAGTAAAGTTCGCACTTTCCGCTTCTTGGCAGCCTGGGGTTCGCTGGTTCGGATCCCAGGTGTGGACATGGCACTGCTTGGCACGCCATGCTGTGGTAGGCGTCCCACATATAAAGTAGAGGAAGATGGGCATGGATGTTAGCTCAGGGCCAGGCTTCCTCAGCAAAAAGAGGACTGGCAGTAGTTAGCTCAGGGCTAATCTTCCTCAAAAGAAAAAAAGAAAGAAATTAAACATGCACCTAGCATGTGACCCACCTATTCCACTTGTAGAATTTACCCAAGAGAAAGGAAAACCTGTGTCCTCACAAAGACTTGTACACAAGTGTTCATAGAGGCTGTGTTATAGCCAAAAACTGGAAATGACCCAAATGTCCTTCAGTAGGTCAAGGATAAACATTGTAAATTTGTACAATGGAATATTACCTAGAAATAAAAGTTAAGAACTATTGGTATATGCTCCAACATGGATGAATTTCAAATAACTTCTAAGTTAAAGAAGCTAGACTAAATTTAGCACATGCTACATGATTCTGTTTACATAAAATTCCAGAAAAAGCAAATTAATCTACAGTGACAGAAAGGAGATAGGTGGTTGCCCAAGGATGGAACAAGCACTGCATTACAAGGAGCCACAAAGAAATTTTGGGAGATGGTGGAAATAACCTTGATTGTGGTGATGGGTTAACAGGGGTATACATATGTCAGAACTCCTCAAATTGTATACTTTAAATATATGCAATTTATTGTATGTCAGTTTTGCTCAGTGAAGTTGAAAAAAATTTAAAAGAAATTCCGGAAGTAGTCTTTGCTCATTACTCTTCTTAGACTTTTTTTTTTTCTTGAGAAAGATTAGCCCTCAGCTAACATCCACTGCCAATCCTCCTCATTTTGCTAAGGAAGACTGGCCGTGAGCTAACATCTGTGCCCATCTTTCTCTATTTTATATGTGGGACACCTGCCACAGCAAGCTGGACAAGCGGTGCAAAGGTCTGCACCCGGGATCCAAACTCTGGGCTGCCAAAGCAGAACATGTGAACTTAACCACTACACCACTGGGCCAGCCCCTCTTCTTAGACTTTTTTAGGTTATTCTTACATATTTATTTTCCCATATAAGCTTTAAAGTTAGCTCGTCCGGTTACCAAAACAATCCCATCACTACTTTTCATTGAACTGATGTTGTTTATAGATTTAGTGAGAACTGCTCTCTTTATAATATTGAGTAGTCCTTAAATATTGTGTTGTGTTCATTGCTGTTACAAGTGAAATCTTTTTCATCATATTTGTTTTCTAGCTGATTGTTTGGGTATAGAAAAGGTGGGTGCCTTGTTGAAAACTCTTGTTTAATTAGTTTTTCAGTTAATCCCATGTTGTTTTTAAGTATACAGTCATTTACATATTACAGCTGAGACAACTAACAAAAGGAAGAGAATGAGCTTCAGAGCTCTGATTTTACCAACACAGAACTTGCTGCTCCTTTTCCAATTTTTATACCTCCTATTAGTTTCTTTTTTTTTTTTTTTTGAGGAAGATTAGCCCTGAGCTAACTACTGCCAATCCTCCTCTTTTTGCTGAGGAAGACGGGCCCTCAGCTAATATCCATGCCCATCTTCCTCTACTTTATACGTGGGACGCCTACCACAGCATGGTTTTTGCCAAGCAGTGCCATGTCCGCACCCAGGATCCAAACCGGTGAACCCCGGGCCGCCAAGAAGCAGAATGTTCAAACTTAACTGCTGCGCCACCGAGCCGGCCCCTATTAGTTTCTTTTATCTAGTTGCATCAGCTAGTACCTTTCTTTTGTTTATTGTGAGGGTATGGCCTGTTTGCTACACACAAGAATGTTGTACTTAAAATCTTAATTTTTTAAAAATATATTTTAGAAATTACATCTCAAGAAGAAGGTTCTACTATACAGTGGATATCATCTGTGGAAGCAAAGATTGAAGATAAAAAACTTAAAAGAGAAAATAAACTAACTTCAGGAAAGTTGGAGCAGCTCAGAAAAGAAAAGGTTAGAAAAATATCTTAGCCCCAACTGTTTTTCTGACCTAGTGACTTTTTCACGGTCTCTGGGTTATTCTTTTAGTAAAAGTAAATATGATTTTGTTAAGATAGAAGATTAATTGCATTAGTTTAGATTTTACTTTAGTGAAAACTTAAAGTAGGTATTTGTGCTATGGCTGAAAATTTTAATGTTTAAAATTCTTAAAAGTATTTTGAAATCTTGAAACTTGAACAGGTCAAGAATTTATATATATATATGTATATACACTGTTCTTATAGTATGTACTATATGCTACGTAATTCTTGATCTATTCAAGTTTCAAGATTGATAACGTGTTTAGAATTAAATTTTTAAAATTTCTTATCCCCTTTTGATAAACATAAAATTGGCCCCCTTTCTCCTCTGTGTCAGGCTCACTGGTTTAGAAGGCTTTCCTCTGACAGGGATTTGAGAGTTAGAATTCTTAAGAAACCTATTTTATAGCTTGGGACTAGGGGGAGTAGAATACAGAAGAAACAACAGATATACCATTGTCGTGTCTGCTGCACATCTGGATTGCATATGGAGAGTATTGTTCAGCTCCCTTCAGTAACCCAGAATCCAGAATTTAGCTCTCTCTGGATCAGAGAATGAGAAAACAAACCAAATCAACACTTGACTCTGCTTTTGGCACTCAGTTTGAATAAGTAGCGTTTAAGGTAAATCATCAAAAAGCATTGGCACTTGTGTGCTAAGTGCCGTATAAAAAAATTAGATGGATTCAGTGCCTGCCTTCCAGAAGTTTATTTAAGATTATAAGTTATGCCAGTAGCACATTAATATGAATAACACGTCATTCATGGCATTTACACATTAATATGAAGAAAGTGTGGATAGATAGGTTTCATTGTTATGAAGGTCTTCTGCCTATGAAAGGGCATGAAATGTTGCTAATAGCTCTATCTTTTAGGGATTGGACTTCAACCAGAAAGTGTCATGTGCTACCGAAGCTTATCCTAGAAACTGTTAGTGTTGCTTTATAACATTAACAGTGTATTTGACCATATCCATGGTGACCCCTTTATTTCACTTTTCAGATAAACTTCTTCCGGAATAAACACAAAATTCATGTCCAAGGAACTGATCTTCCTGACCCAATTGCTACATTTCAGCAACTTGAACAGGAATATAAAATCAATTCTCAACTGCTTCAGAACATTCTAGATGCAGGCTTCCAGATGCCTACACCAATCCAAATGCAAGCCATTCCAGTTATGCTGCATGTGAGTATGAAGGTCTAGAATGCCTCTAGCATTCCTTCCTGTGTGTGTTTGCTCATTCTCTTTCTTTAAAATCTTCCTTTCTACCTTATCTCCCTCTGTTGAAATCCTTCCCTTGTTTTTAAGGTCCATCTCAAATGCCTATGCCTCCATAAAACTTGTCTTGATCACTACAGCAAGATGTAATCTTTCTTTTTACCAGTGCTTTCCCCTACCACCCAATTCTCTGTGGTATTTAGTGTGTTCTTTTTCTTAGGACATTTGTCTTACAGTGGTGTAAAGTGTGTGTTTGCACTAATTATGTTTATCTTTTCCATTTTACTAGAGTGTAAATCCTCTCAGGATAGGGACTACGTTCTGTTTATTCATCTGTGATTTAGTTTTTAACTCCCAGGAACTATTTCAGAAATACAGAATTCTTGTATGTAACTTGACTTGTTTTTTCCCCCAATATTTTTATTATACTTTATGTATAATAAAATGCATAGATTTTAAATGCACAGTTCAGTGAATTTCAACAATGCATATCCTATGTAACCTTCACCTCAATGAAGATGGGTGACATTTCTGTCACCCTAGAAAATTCTCTTGTACCAGAACATTACCACTGTTCTGATTTCTATTGCTATGTACTAGTTTTGCCTCTTCTAGAATGTCATGTAAGTGGAATCATTCATTATTTATTTCTGGTTCCTTTCGCTCTGCATTCCACAATTTTTTTCTTCACATGTTGATAGAGGTATGAGTTAACTCAGACTTTTGGAAATTAAGTTTTTCTGAGGTTTCTTTTGGTAGTGGTGAGAGCTGACTTTCCCCCCCTACATAACCAAGATGGCCTTCAGTTCTGTTAGCCAAAGGATATGAGTTACCTTTTCATCCATACTAGTCCTTTTCATTTTCTTTGGGAACTGAAATGAGAATACATTTGAATGATGTTGTTGTCTCACTTTATAGTAAATTTGCTTTTAATTTTCATTTAAGATAGTTTCTGTCATGACTTTAGCTTAAAATTTTAAAAATATCAGTGACTTTTTGAATATCATCACCTATCAATTACTCTGTCACTCAGGTTATCACCACTTTTTATTTCTTATTTTCAGCCATTCTGTTATTTATTAAACCTTCCTTAGGGATTGAGCAGTACAGATACCAGGCCAAAAAGTTGGTTTTGTAATTTTGCTTTGAGAAAAGAGTTTAGTGGGAAAGAAAAATTGAAATAATGGAAATAATTGAGGTTGTGAATTATCTTTGGGTTTTAGCTATCAATATTCCTTACCCAGTTCAAATGGACTTGTGTTGCAACGCTCAGAAACTCCATTGGGGTGGTGATGGCAGGGGTGTATGATATTAGAAAAGCAAATACGAGAGAAGTAAGAAAAGCGATGAGAACATGAATGATTGGATTCATTATGTATAATTTTGTTACTTCTTTGGCTGGTAGCATTATTTGGCCAGGTGCTGAAAAGTTTATGTCCTTTTCCTTGTTCTTAATATACTCTGTTTTTAGGGTCGAGAACTTCTAGCTTCTGCTCCTACTGGATCTGGAAAGACTTTGGCTTTTAGCATTCCCATTTTAATGCAGCTGAAACAACCCACAAATAAAGGCTTCAGAGCCCTGATTATATCACCAACACGAGAACTTGCCAGCCAGGTATGACTTATAACTTCGAATGAAGATGTGTTTGGTGTTTGTGTCAATCATTTCGTATTTGAACATAATAAAAAGATCTCAAAAAGAGTAAGGGCATGTCTTTTGTCATGGTCAAGTATTCTGTACAGAGCACACTACCCCATATCTTACTGTATATGGGCAAGTCTTTGAAGTCTTTCTATAATTTTCTAAATTTCTTTGGTAAATGCTGTAAGATCCTTAAAGTTGAAAGGCTACTGTAATATATAGTCCATTTCTAAAATGTATTTTTCTCACCTAGAAAAATGAAACCTCATCTCAATTTTTGGAAAAGTAAAAAACTATACAGTGATCTGCTCTACCCTCCCAGTGTGCTTAATAGAAAAGACATGCCAAATATGAAATAGTTCTGTGACAGTATTGTATTCTAAAAACAATATGTAACAGACTGGTAGAGTTTTGGTTTTATTTCTTGGAACTAGTTTGCCAGACCTGAAGAAACTACTGAATCTTATTAGGCACTGAAGTTCCAAAATGCTGAGATTCCAGGTTAATCTACAGATTATTGTGGGTTTAATTTCAGATATGCATAGATTGGTAGTAGATTTATTTTGTTAATAATGTAAATGAGACTATACATCTTATCCAAGTATCTCAGCAGCTAATGTTTTATCATTTTCCATTTTAGATTCACCGAGAGTTAGTAAAAATCTCTGAGGGAACAGGATTCAGGATACACATGATCCACAAAGCAGCAGTGGCAGCCAAAAAGTTTGGACCTAAATCATCTAAGAAGTTTGGTAAGGGCTTCATGTAAGAGCATGTAAGGGGTTTGGAAATTAGAGATATCCTAATTGCCACCTAAGAGTTCTTAAAGTGTAATCATGCACATAATTGGTTTGATTTTTAAAGAAGCTGAAAGAGATCTGCTCCCCACTCCCACCTGGTAGTTATGTACATATATACCAGTAGTTCTCAACCAGAGGCAACTCTGCCCCCAACCCCAACCCCAAGGACATTTGGCAATACCTGGGCACACTTTAAGTTGTCACAACTTGGGAGGGTGCTACTCACATATAGTGGGTAGAGGCCAGGGATGCTGTTAAAGCTCCTACAGGGCACCCTACAACAAAGAGTCATCTGGACCAAAATGTCAGTAGTGCTGAGACTGAGAAACCCTGCTTGATACTGTTGATTTTTAATCTGCCATGGAAATACTCTGCAGATAAGAATGGTTTACATCCCTCCCTTTATATCAGCCAGAGAGTCTGCTTTTACCTGTCTTTTATCTTGAGCTTCTGAATAAAAAGAAAGGATTTTCATGAAAAACAAAAGAATATTTAAAAATCAAACTGTTGGATTATAGTGTTCTTGTCTCTTAGAAGCTGAGAAGGCAGATCAAATATAATAAAAGGAGAGTAAGGATATAGCAGTTTGTGCTGTGATGGATTAAAGAGTATGTATATTAGCTTCCTAATATGAGAGAACCTTTATACTGTTGGTGTAGTGAGTATAGCAAGTATAACCTCTCCTTCCTCTCCCCACTTCAGGTTATTAACTGAAATTCAGGAGGCTTAGTTGCCTGATTTAAGAGGGATGAATCTTGTTTTTGTAATTTGTACCACTTGTTTTTCCTCTAGATATTCTTGTGACTACTCCAAATCGACTAATCTATTTATTAAAGCAAGATCCTCCAGGAATAGACTTAACAAGGTACAGATAATATTTTAATGTCTTTTATGTGTGTGTTCATTTAGGTGATTATATTTTGTCTGCGTTGCTTGTATGATCGCCTGTTGGAGCTTGCTATCTGTCACCTTTCAGTCAGTGTTGATCCTGAGAATAATGGCTTTCATTAAACTCATAGAAAAATAACTGGTCTGGAAGAAAGTTACAGATTCCGATAAGCAGTTAGCACAGGATACCCCTAGACTTTCTCGCATCTTTCGGCAGTGGTGGTGGAGTTTCTAAGGTTTATGTGAAGCTCTGTTGTTGCTAATAGAACCTCATGTCTTTGAGGCTAGTGGAATAGAAGGTTTTCTGCTGTGATATGTGGATCTGAGAAGTATCGTCATGGTTTGACTTCTTCGTATGTTCCCACAGTTTAGTGAAGTGTCTTGGATCTTCCAGTTCAGTGCCCACAAGTAGTTTTGTTATTTCTTAGTGTTGAATGGCTGATAGTAGATGAATCAGACAAACTATTTGAAGATGGCAAAACTGGGTTCAGAGACCAGCTGGCTTCCATTTTCCTGGCCTGCACATCCCACAAGGTCAGAAGAGCGATGTTCAGTGCAACTTTTGCTTATGATGTTGAGCAGTGGTGCAAACTCAACCTGGACAATGTCATTACTGTATCCATTGGAGCAAGGTAATTGTTCTTCCACATTATTTCACTGATTTTTTTTTTTAATACAAGTCAATTTTTTTAGATTCAAAGAGATAGGTTGTTGGCCTGAGATTAATAAGAGTTTTACTGAAAGAAATGTATTCTTTAAAGTCAAGATTGAAGATTTTCTATTTTAGAATAATACAAAGGGAGATTCTCATATTAGTATTCCTATCATTATGCTTTTGGTTGATTTTTCTCATCCACAAAGTATGACATGAGCTCTGTGCTACCCAGAGGATTTAGTTTCTTTGATGGCTTAACAGATAGGAACACAGATGGGGCCGGCCTGGTGGCGCAGTGGTTAAGTGCGCATGTTCTGCTTCGGTGGCCCTGGGTTCGCCAGTTCGATCCCGGGTGTGGACATGGCACTGCTTAGCATGCCATGCTGTGGTAGGCGTCCCACATATAAAGTAGAGGAAGATGGGCACGGATGTTAGCTCAGGGCCAGTCTTCCTCAGCAAAAAGAGGAGGATTGGCCGCAGTTAGCTCAGGGCTAATCTTCCTCGAAAAAACACCAAAAAACAAATAGGAACACAGAGGAGGAAGCTGATGTTACTGAGCCGCTTGATTTGTTATTCCTCTTAAAAAATACTTTGGGTAGCATTTTATGCTAAATGAATGCTCAATAATAGGAAAAACTTTTAGGAAATTATATTACCACTTGATAGAATATTATGCAACCCATGAAATGATAAGTGTGGAGACTGTAACTATATTAAAAAGTACTTGTAATACCTTGTTAAGTAAAAAAGCCAAATGGAATAGTAAAGAATACCCTGTCTACTTTAAACTGAAAACTCTGTGTATAAAAAGAAAATAGAACAAATTCACCATAAGTATAATTATAAAGGCAGACAAAAGAATGGAAAAAATATTTATGACATAGTATAATGTATGGCAGCATCTTATAGAGTGTTAGTAAAGCCTTAAGATCCCTCACCCCAACCTGTCTGTCTGTAATAAACCCTTGCTAATCATTAAGACAAAAATTCAGCCGTATATAATAGCAACCTTAAAAATGTTCTCCTCATTTTATCCAGGAATTTTACTTTTACAAATTTTTTATAAGTAAATAATTATGTACATGAAAATTTGTGACTAGAATACAACAAAATGTCAAAATTTATTCTAAAATGGTAGAATTATGGGCAGTTTGTTTTATTTACATTTTTCTGTTTTTCAAATTTTCTTCAGATAACTTTTATAATTAGAATAAACCATTTAAAAATAGCAACTTTGTCTTCAAGTTCAACTATAAATAAGTGCTTATATTGACAATGGAAAAGTTGCTTCTGTTGAAGTTGTGTGTGTGTGTGTATATACATATTTTTTTTAAAGATTGGCCCTCAGCTAACATCTGTTGCCAATCTTTTTCTTTTCTTCTTCTTCTCCCCAAATCCCCCCCATACGTAGTTGTATATTCTAGTTGTGGGTCTTTCTAGTTCTGCTGTGGGATGCCGCCTCAGCATGGCTTGATGAGCAGTGCTAGGTTCACGCCCCGGATCCAAACTGGTGAAACCCTGAGCTGCCAAAGTGAAGTGCATAAACTTAACCACTTGGCCATGGAGCTGGCCCTGTATATGTGTATTTTTTATTTATTTAGAATTCAGGGAGAAAATGCAAAAATTGGCTCTTGCAAACTGTAAGAGATGTTTTCTTTTCAGGAATTCTGCAGTAGAGACTGTAGAACAAGAGCTTCTCTTTGTTGGGTCTGAGACTGGAAAACTTCTGGCCATGAGAGAACTTGTAAAAAAGGTATATTTGGACTACGTTCTTGAATTTTGATAAAGTTCACCAAGCTTCATCTTACTGGTGGAAGGCTAAGCACTATTCCTGTATCATATTTAGTAAGCCAGGGGTAAATTTTTAAGCACATTGGGCCAACTGTTGTCCTAAGGGAGGAGACTCATCTCTTAGAATAGGGGACATTTCCTGTTCCCAGCTCAGGGAACCTAGGAAAAGACCTACCTGATGCCCTGAAAGCCTCCTTTTTCCATGTCCACATATATTCTGCCCCCTTTACCACCACCACCTCCCAGCCCCCACTGGTTTCTTATGGAACTAGGACAGTGTAGAATGAGCAAGACACTGAGTGGAGCTTTCTGTTTTTATATCCCTTCAATAAGTATTAAATAGAAGCCATAGTTAAAAAGCTAACTATGAGGGGTCAGGGCAGGAGGTAATCAAAGAAATATAAATCCAAAGTCCTGCCCATAGAATTTAGTCTTTTTTAGGGAATAATATAAATATACTTGTGTGAGATAGTTTGTGATAACCTGCCGTGAAAGGCTACAGAGTGTTTTTCTTAAGCATTCGTATCGTCATAATGGGGCCATCAGGATAAGTTGAAGTAGTTGGGGAAAGCCTTATAGAGAAAATGCCACTAATCAGGGCCTTGAAGGATCTGTGGGATAGAAAGGTAGAGGGGGAGAGTACTGATGGCTGGAGGAGCAGCTGGAGTAAAGTCTAAGAGATGGAGGTGAACGCAGTGTGTTTGCAGACTCATGAAGAAGTTACCTGTCTAAGGCAAAGAGTTTATAGTGAGAATTAAAGAAGATCAAGTTGGACAGGAAAGTTGGGGTTAGGTCGAAAGAAAGCACTCGATATTTTTGAAGAATGTGGCAACATAATTTTTAAGGAAAACTAGTTAAATGGTGGTATATAAAATGGATTGTAATGGAAAGAAACTGAAAATAAGGAAACCAATTAGCGGGCTGTTAAATTAGACTGGTTGGAGATGAGGAGGAAATAAATGAAAGTGGTAGCCTTAGTGGTGGAGTGTTAATAATAATTGGAGGATGAAAGGGAAAGGTGTTTGCATGTACCTGGTGACTAAAGAAGTGGTTAATAGCTTGATCTTGGGAGCTGCACTACCTGGGTTGGAATTCTAGCTTAGGCAAATTAACCTGTTTCACAGTTTCCTCATCTGTAAAATGGGAATAATAATATCTGTCTCATAGAATTGTTTCAGTATGAATGAGTTAATACAAATACAGTATTTACAGTAGTGCTTGGCACATAAGAAATGCTACATGTGTTAATTTTATTAATATTCTTAAGTGTATCATTTGGCACTAGGAAATTTACGGTTTTCACAGATGCTCACATGGGGATTACACACCAGGAACTTTTAGCCGTGTATGATCTTTAGGAGCTCTGTGAACCCTCTGAAATTGTATGTTAGATTTTGTGTGAATGTGTGGTTACCCATTAGAAAGCTTCATAGCTTTCATTAGATTCTGAAAGGGGTGTGTGAACCAAGATAAAAAGGTTAAGCCCTAATATAGATGGTTGAAAATATAGAAGGCTGGTTTGAGAGAGGTGGGTTTGATGATAAAAATGTAAAAATCATCTGCTTAGAGCTGGTAGTTGATAACTGAGATTTTATTTAACTTACTAAGATAAAAATCATATTGAGAGAAGTGAGAACCAAAAACTAAGCTTTGGGGGAATACCCACAATTAGGATAAATAATGAATTAAAAAGATCGTTGTTACATTTTAGCAGAATCAAGAAGGTTCTGAGGCACAGAGCCAAGAGATGACTGTTTTAGGGCATGGGCATCCATCACTGCAGAAAGGTGAAAGGCGATTAATTAGATGTGATTATTGGAATCAGCAAGATGGAAGTACAGTTCAAGTTGAGTAGAGGGTGGATGGTGAAGAAGATGGAGGCGGATTTAGACTACTGGCCCAAGACGCTGGGCAATGAAGAGGACACTGAATTGAGTTGGATTGTCTTATGAGCTAAAATCATATGAAATACTGCGTTAGTATGCTGATTTTTGCCTTCTTTCTTTTAGGGTTTCAATCCACCTGTTCTTGTTTTTGTTCAGTCCATTGAAAGAGCTAAAGAACTTTTTCGTGAGCTTATATATGAAGGTGTTAATGTGGATGTTATTCATGCAGACAGAACGCAGCAACAGGTAGTCAGCTGTGTGCTTTTGAAAATAATGGCGTTGAATTTATGAAGTACTTATTTTCCATTCCTAGAGTGGGACTAAAACATTTAATATATGTTCTATTAACCAGAGAGATAACACGGTCCACAGCTTCAGAGCGGGAAAAATCTGGGTTCTTATTTGCACAGCCTTGCTAGCCAGAGGGATTGATTTTAAAGGTGTGAACTTGGTGATCAACTATGACTTTCCAACCAGCTCAGTTGAATATATCCACAGGATAGGTGAGTTGTCTCTCCTCCCCACCATAGCCCTCCTCCGGAACCCCACTCATCTATCTTAGGACCTCTACTATTCCTTTCAAAGATGCTCATTTTTCAGTGCTGTGAAAAATCCGTTGACTTTTATATGTGAATCTTGAAGTTTCTTTTCTGAAAAAAAGTGGTTCTTTATGGTCTAATTTCTCTTAGGTCGAACTGGAAGAGCAGGACATAAAGGAAAAGCTGTTACATTTTTCACTGAAGATGATAAACCATTATTAAGAAGGTAAATTTGGAGAAATAACTTAGTATTAAGTTGGCAAGATTGCCTGGTTATTTTTCTAGGTATATACAATTAACAGATAATTATAGAATGTGTCCCAAATTCTGTTATGGTATTAGTCAACCAAATTTCAGCCATGAGAAAAGAAAAAATGATCAAAGGGCCTTGTTTTTGCCCTTCCATTATTAGAATTTGGAAATATTCATAATGGAATGTTCATTAAGTTTCACACTCACAGGATTCTCCCAATAGCCATCAGTTGATATTACTCACAATGTAATAGTAAGGTTTTTGGATTAGTGAATAGTTTAAAGTTAATCCCTGCATCTCCTCAGCCCAGTCAAAGTTCTCTCTTATCATGGCGCATCCTTCCCATTACTCTTAGGGGCAGATGGAGTTTTATATTTAGTCTCAGGAAAAACTATTTTAGTAATACTCTCCAGTATTATTCAGTTGTGGCCCTTTGAAGACCGGGTAACGTGTGATATACTTTTACAATCTTGGGTCTCAAAGTAACCCATAGATTTTGAATTTCCTGCATTTGGGCTGTCTACAGTAATTTTAGTCTGATAATGACTGATAGCACTTCACATTACTGACACATGAAATTGAGATATAGCCCATGGCGGTTTGTGCTTTGATCTGTTTGGCAGTTTTGGCAAAGATATGGATTTGTGCCTCCTGAGCCTTGGCTCTGTCAGCCTTGGTCTTGCTTTGAGCAGACTTTCACATGTGCATGTATGCGGGAGTATATTCCAACAGCCTAGCTTCACCTAACGTCTCCTTAGCAACTGCAAGCATGTGACTCTGATGACCCCCATATCCATGTAACTATGCTTCTCAGTTTTTTTTCTGGGAAGTGGGGATAATGATAGTATTTACTACAAAAGGTTGTTCTGAGGAGTGAGTAAGTTACTGTACATGAAAAGCTTAAGACAATGCCAAAATATAGTAGGCACTGTCATTTAATAAATTTAAGTCTGACTCTGCTTCAGTCAGTGTCTCATCCCAGATAGGACTTAGTAGCTTTTTAGGGCTTGATAAGTGTTGTGTAGAAATAGCTGCTGTCTAGAATTATTCAACAATGCATCGATTTCAGTCCTGGGGATAGTTCTCTCAGCAATCCAATGGGATTATATCTGGGGATAATTGATAATATCAGAACACTTTACTGGATTACTTTCTTGTTTGTGTAGTTTTAGTTCCTCTTGTATTGTGCAGAGGGTTTAAGTGCATAAATATCAGTTTGACAAGATACAGATTTACATTTATGGGTATCTTTTTCAGTGTTGCCAATGTTATACAGCAGGCCGGATGTCCTGTGCCAGAATACATAAAAGGCTTCCAAAAACTACTAAGGTACAAGTTTGAATTTACCTCGAGCTGCTCTCTTTCTCTCTCTCTCTTTACGTATACATTCCTGCTTTCACACTCTTACACATTATAGTTCTAACAATTCTACTTTTAGAACATTTCAAGATAAAAAGTTTCCTTTTAAATATTTGTGATTACTGTATGTTCTTTCCTTGCCAGTTTGAAATTTTAAGTATTCAGATTTTTAATAAATTATTCAATGTGAGTGAAACAGGCTTAGAATTTGTTTTGGCTCATAAAACTGGTAAAAAGCAATTAATTGGCTAAAATCAAACTCTAATGCTTGTTGGCATAGGATATAAGGTTGACACTGGACGTATTTTAATTGTAATCAGTGCCTTTTTTTTTTTCCTTTTTCTCCCCAAAGCCACCCCGGTACATAGTTGTATATATTTTTATTGGTGGGTCCTTCCAACTGTGGCATGTGGGACACCGCCCCACCATGGCCCAATGATGGTGCCATGTCTGCGCCCAGGATCCAAACTGGCAAAACCCTGGGCTGCCGAATTAGAGCGTGTGAACCCAACCACTTGGCCATAGGGCCAGCACCAATCAGTGCCTTTTTTAAAAAACTGATTGAGTTTATCATCCTTTGGGTTACTTCTCTAAATGTTTTAGGTAATCTAGTATATTAAAGTGTCATTGTAAACCTGTAAGTGGATAAAAAATGAATTTTGTGGTCAAGAATCAAAATTAGTTTTAGCTTTACTTTTTTTTTTTAAGATTGGCCCTGAGCTAACACCTGTTGCCAGTCTTCCTTTTTTCCCTCCCCAAAGCCCCAGTACATATTGTATATCCTAGTGGTAGGTCATTCTAATTCTTCTATATGGGATGCCGCCACAGCATGGCTTGATGAGTGGTGTGACGGTCAGTGCCCAGGATCCAAACCGGTGAACCCCAGGCCACTGAAATAGAGCGTGCAAACTTAACCACTCAGCTGCAGGGCTGGCCCAGCTTTAGCTTTTAAATTAAGTTGCACTTAATTCTTTCCTCTCTTACTTTGTAACTTTCAGCAAACAAAAGAAAAAGATGATTAAGAAGCCATTGGAAAGGGAAAGTATTAGCACAACTCCAAAATATTTCTTAGAAAAAGCTAAGGATAAACGGTAAGTATATGGTGAGAAAAGCTGCTGTTTGACTCCTTCATATAGTTATAGTAAGCATTATTTTTCCTCAGGATGAATTTCTAGAAGTAGACTTGATAGGTCTACAGTCCATTATAGAATGTAGTAAAAGTAATATATCCTAGGTTGCCTGTGATTTGGGGTCTTGGATGATTTGATCTTGGAATTTTTCTCTGTATATTAATGATCTGGTTTTTTCCATCTTTGAAAATATGATTTCAGTTCATCACGAATTAGAATTGCACTGCCCACATCTCTACACAACCTGCATCAGGACATACTACTGAGGCCAAGCGTGAGAACTACTGACTCACATTGGTGGAGTCTTCCTTGAAGCTCCATATTCTGGGCGGGATTTCAGTATAATCTTAGGCTTATTCTGAAGCCTCTAAATACCTCTAAAAAGTATTACTTGGGTGAATTGGTAGTAGTTTAGCTGAGTTATGTGAGGATTTTAAAGCATAGATGTTTTAGCATACACACAGGACTACTTTTTTTGCCCAGTACTGCTAGGAAGCTACATGTTTTGATAGGGGTAGGCTGAAATATTCTTAACAGTACTACTCTTTCCACTATTTAAGGAAAATGACACTCTTCAAATTCTACCAGTACACTTAATATATAATATACATAAAATGTAGGCATTTTCCGAGTACCTATTCTCATTGCCAGGTACTTGACAGTAGTAAAGTAGACGAATGAATATAAAATGGGACCTCTTTCCTGAAGTTAGGGAAAGGAAATTAGTATACGTGAAAAAAATTAGAGAAAAATTTTTACATAAAATAGAAGTTTTTTATTCTAATTTTTTGTGGCAACAGTTTCTGGATGACACTTAGACTAGTGGCTTAGTAGAGAAGGTGGTCTGTCTTGGCCACCTTGGTCACCTGATCTGTCTCAGTACACTTTTTCTTGTGGGGGCCGTATCTGAACTGTTGTACATGCATCAGAACCTCGTTCTTGGGGTGATCTTAAAGCTAGGATTACAAATGCAGTCCTTTCAGGCACCGAGCGGCAGCTGGTGAAAGTTTTTACAAAGGTCAGAAATCAACTAGAGTATAAGATGATGGTAGCTATGTTCAATTTTAATAGGAAACATCAGTGTTTTAAATACTACTCTAAATGTTGATTTTTGTAAGTTTGTAGCATTTATACTTCTGAGATTATTAAAACTTAAAGCTGCACTAAGACTTTGAGGACACTTGGTATAAATCTTGTCACTTCAGGCCCCTGCTTAAGATGCTTTGGTTGTCTCTCTATTTTCTTCACATTTAAAGGCCATACTTAACATAGCATACAAACAAGACTTCATCTAACTCTAGCCTCCCTCTCCACTATAGATGTTCCTTTAATGATCTGACCCACCACACTTGTAGCTCCAGCTCATGCCTTTATGCTGATAACTCTTAAGTTCATATTTCAGCCTCAGCTTCTCAACTGAGCTATAACTCTGAATCCTGTTGCCTAGTGGACCTCACTTCAGGTGCTACAAAGTCAACCTGGTTTACTGGAGAGAAAAACCCAATTTGAAGCCAGAAGAACTGGCTCTGATACCTACTTTGCCTGTGTGACTTTGGACAAGTCACTTCACCTCTCTAAGCTTTTTTCCCCCTATATAGAATGAAAATAATTATGTAAACAATACCAGCTCTGCCACTCAGGATTGGTTATGATTGAGTTAATATGCATCTAAGAACTTTGCATTATTCTCCTGTAGTATGCAAACTGATTATTTTCTCAAAACTTTTTCCCTTTTCCTGTGTTATTACTTAGTTAATGGCATTCACTATTCATCAGACTCTAAAATCAGACTATTGGGGTTTATGTCTAACATTTACTACCAGTGTGTGATGATCAGCAAGTTACTTAGCCATTCTGCCTCATTTTTCTCATCTGTAAGATGAGGATAATAATTGAATCTTCTTCATAAGTTAGGAAGATGATCCAAGTTGATACATATAAAGAACTTATAACAGTATCTAGCACTTAAGCAATGTGAACAGTTATTATGAGGTCAGGATCAGAATCTGTCTTTCATACCATGTTGTAGCATAGTTTGTTGTGGTTTTTCTGCCTCACTTAGGTGACTGGTTTTTCTAAAGGGCAGAGACTATGTCTGATGCATCTCTGTGTTCCTGGTGCCTCCTATATTTGACAGTACAGTAGTTTTCAGTAAATGTTTATTAAACTGGTAGAGTCTTGGAAAGCACATATATCTAGAATTTCTGGCTTAACTTTCCTTATTTTCCTTGTCACAGGAAAAAGGTCACTGGTCAGAACAGCAAGAAGAAGGTAACTCTTGAAGACAAAAGTTAAAAACAGACTTTTTAAAAGACTACGCAGAAATGTAACTTAATGGTCCCAGCATGAAGGTTGTTTTCATGGAATACTTCGAGTCTTATAATCATGTGTGTACCAAACATTTGAAACCCACTTCAGGAACATGGGAGTGGGGAAAAATGATCCTAAACTATCAGTGTGTCATGTCAAATTATAATTTGTAGGTGACTTTTAAAAGATTATACAATGGAAATAACATTCATTGACATTTCTGTGGTTTGAATCCAGAGAGATACTTCTTATAGAAGAACAAAAGCTTATGCTAAAGATAACACCCAAATGTGGGGAACTCTTAAGGATTTTTCCCTTCAAGTGTGAAGGAATGTGTGTGTATGCTGTGGAGAGGCATCTGGAACCGAATTTCAAAGCCTTGAGATTGAATTTCCCTTCCCACCCCACCCTCCTTTTATGTTGGATGGACAAGAAGCCACACAGGCTGTCTTCAAAGAAGAAAACTACTATGCTCTTTATTTTACTATTTCTTAATTTGCTGATGGCCTTGTGTGGTATGAGCCACAATAAAGAGATGCCTCTTCTGTGGCTGGTTATTTCAGATCCCTAGGCCTCAAGTTCTTTGGTCTGTTAAATATCCTTATACCTCATTGCTCAAATAGTTCATACCTTACCTGTCACAATGTTGGAAGTACAAGATTATGGTGGTTCTCTCCCTTTCTTCATTTTCCATCATTTAACCATGCCCCTTCCTGTCTCTTTCCATTCAAGATGACTTTGCTTGAAAACTGATAAACGTTTCATCCTGATAAGGAAGAATGTTCCTATTACTTGATACCCCTCTAGCTCTATTCTCTTAGAGCTTATCTTTCCTGAGGCTTTGTGGCCCTTCATCCATTTAGTAAGTAGGTCTCTGCCACAGGTAAAGGATTATGATTATACACTGATGGAGACTATTCACTGTTAGCAGATTTTTCTCAGTTGCTAGTTTTGTACAGTGAAATAAAAAATCGACTTCATGCATGTAAGGTACTTAGAGTGGCACCTGACATGAATGTTAGTTATTATCAGTATTACAATACTATAATATAGATAACCTCTTCTCAGCAGCATTTGAATTAAACTTATTTATTCTCTTTATTCTCAACCTTTTATTCTAGAGTCAGGACAAGTAGACTCCAACTTGAATATTTTACATGGGACAAAAATTGTTTATCTTCAGATTTTATGTAAATGGAGACCTATTGCTACAAGGTGCAAAAAATGCAAGCGTATGATTTTTTTGTTTGTTCTTGCAAACAGATGCTTAATTCAATATATATTCTGGAGGAAGGTGTACTGGTGTCACCCATTTGCCAGCTGTATGACTTTGAATAAGTTCTTTAATTTCTCAGAGCTTCAGTATTTTCATTTATGAAATTGGGGATAATACCAACCATGTTTCAAGATTAGAAGTACCTAACACTGTGCCTGACATGTCATAGATTCACAACAAATATTCCTTAAACAAGCATTGTATATTTGGTTAGGAATACAAGGCTTGACTACACAGCCCTGCCTTTACAATAAAGGACCAAATAGTGTGGCAAATGCTGTGTCAGACATAAAGCCACAATGCTGAAGCATCATAGGAGGGCATCTAACCCAGACTGGAGATGTCATGGAAGGCTGACATCCTGAGCTGAGTCTTGCTAGGAATCAATAGGCAAAAGAGAACAGAGTATCCCAGGAAGAAACAGAAACTGTATGTTCTATGATCCTTGATATCCTTCCTTCACTTGACTTTATTTCCTCTTACTTCGTATTTTCTCCTGTGTAACCACACATCCTTAAATAAAACTGGCTACATAAACCTGTATCAGCTTGGTTTGTCAATAGATTAATAGAGAATTTAGCGCCTTTGTATGAGTTGGAACTATCTGCTACACAAATTTTGGTTTCACCCAAAGGGCAACAATTGGGCCAGCCCCAGTGGCCTAGTGGTTAAGTTCCACACACCCTGCTTCAGTGGCCTGGGGTCGGTCCCCGGGCACGGACCTACATCACTCGTTGGTCAGTGGCCATGCTGTCACAGCAGCTCGCATATAAAAAGAGGAAGATTGGCAACAGATGCTAACTCAGGGTGGATCTTCCTCACGAAAAAAATAGGAGGTGGGGAATGAAATTAGACAATTATTACAAAAGAACACATGGTAACTGAATGGCTGGCTCTAGTGAAATCAAGCGAGGCCTTCAAAGTTAAACACCTGGGTTTGAATCTTGGTCCTGCTGCTTTGCAGCTGTATGACTCAGGCAAATTACAACTTCTTTTAACCTTGGTTTTCTCATCTGTAAAACGCCAATACTAACTCTTAGGGACACTGAGGATTGGAGAAAATACAGTCAAGTTCCTGACCAGTGATTTGTGCTCAATAAATAACAATTATTACAAATTGTTTCCCTGTAATAGCCCTGAGGCAAGAGTGAAAGATAAAGCTAATTATAATTAATCCATTACTTGCTTGTAAGCAAACTCTACTTGAGGGGTTGAAAAAGTTTACATTCAACTTTTATCTTATTTTACTGACAGTTAATTTGATTAGGGGAAAAGTCACAGTAAATGTATGCCCAGAAAAGTTCAGAGTAATTAGGAACTGCCTTCCAAACACCACCGTTTTGTCCGTTTCCAAGCATAGGAAAAACAGATTTCTGGGTGGCACGATGTCAGAACCAAACACAAGAATTGGCCACCCTGGAGGTCTCATACGTGGATTGGGTTTATTGGTTTACTAAAACAAATTGTAAATACCTTCAGCTTTTAGAATGGGTACCAAAACGAAGCTGCCTAGTGCCAGGGAAAAAGTGGAGAGCGCAGATCACTAATGGGCCCTGTGAAGCTGTCAAAGGGTCATTCAGGATTCATCTATGCTTTATATGTAAAGAGTAACAATAAAAGAACATTCGTGTTACCCACCATCCGATTTAAAAAGCAGGACTTAATCTATTCTTTCCATTAATCAAGATGATGGTTTTTCAAACGGAGGAACGACAACGCCTTGCCGCTCGACTTCCAGCTGGGCCCTCCAGGGCCTTGCCAGAGAATGAATCAGCTCCTGCAGCCAGCGTGAGACCGCCGCACCAGCCCCAGCACTGGAATTGCACCTGCGGACCCCCAGCGGCGGCCGGGTCACGTGATGGGGGCTCGCCGCCCCTCCCCGGGGCGCGCGGAGTCACGTGGGCGCGCGACCCCGCCCAGTCGCCTAAGCCGCGGCGAGGTGGGGCCTGGCGTTTGCCCCGGAAGTGACTGTCTTCATCTGACAGCTGCTCGTAAGGTGGCGGCGGCGGCGGCGGGCCGGGAGCAAGATGGCGTTGCGGCCGGGAGCGGGAGCTGGCGGCGGCGGGGCCGCGGGAGCGGGCGCGGGGGCAGCCGGGGGAAGCAGGTGGGTGCGAAGGGCTGGGCCGGGGCCCGCCGGCCGCCGCGGCGAGGGATGTTGGGCGGGCGGGTATGGCGGTTTTCGCCCGCTTCGACCCCTTTTTCTTTGGAACTGGGCTACGGGAGAGGGTCGTCCTCCGGGGACCTAGGCCGAAGGGGCGGAGGGAGCCCGGCGCCCGCCTCCTGTCCTCCAGGCTCGGGGCACTGGCTGCTGGAGCCGAGCGGGGAGCGAGCGCGCGCCCAGTGCGGGCAGGAGAGGGGAGGAGAAGGTGCGGGTCCGCTCGGGGGCCTGGGACGGGAGGGACCCCGACGCCTCGCTTCCAGCCCTGGCTCCATCTGAACCGACCAGACACTTCCCTTTCCCCGGGCTTGACCAGGGATGCTGTAGGGAAGGCTCCAAAAATCTGGTCACAAAGCTGGACAACTGTTTCCAAGATGTGTGTGGACTATTTGTCTTTTCCCCTTTTAGAGCGTACTGTCCTTTTTATTTCTTTAACACACGAGAAACAGCAGGAAAATCTGAAGACCTTTGAACTAGTAAATAGAGCTCTTGTAAGCTTAGCTCTTAAGACTTGCCTCCTTATTAAAAAACAATTCGTTGTTAAACACAGTTACGCAGTTATTAGAACAAGGCTTCCAGCCTTTTACTTAACCCTTAAACAAATCTGCCCTCTGTCGTGTGTCAGCTAATAATTGCTTGTGGTCCTCATACCCAGAGCAATAACGGAGGTGAGCATTTGCAACTTGACAAGTTTATCGTTTAGGGAAATGTTTTTTTTTCCGGGAAGTTTTCACCCCACTTCTATAAGGACCTAGTCTGATTTTGTTTTGTTAGCCAACACATACTGCACATATTTGAAGGTAAAATTAGCTTTTTATCTTGAGCATCCTAAATTATTTTTGGAAAACAAAGTGTTAGTTTTCTGATATGCAGCGTTCTAATTTTGGAGTCATGAACACTCCAGAAGTGTAAAGTCTGTAAAGTTATCACCACCTGCTTCGTATATATGCTAAGTGCTTCTATGTATGCTAGGGAAAAAGAGCAGTCGCTGTTAAATAAACCACCTGTGTGCAGCCCCACTTTGCATTTCCTCTACACATCTTTTAAATTTAAAGCTGCCTTCTTTCTCTTTTGTTTTCTCTTTTCCGCTGTTTCATTAGAGTTTTTCATGAATATTTGATATAAGTCAGTTTCTGGCTGGAGAAGACAAATGTGTAGTCTCTGTTTCTTTTCTACGTGTGATGACAGTCTCTAAAATGTTCTTGAGTGGCATTAAATTGATCAAGTATGTATTAATCTTAGCACCAAGTTCTAGGAAAATATGAACTTAAAAGAATTTGGTATTCTAGGCCCAGGTTTTTGGGGTTTTGGATTGGGGGTTTATTTTAGCTTTTGGGGGAGGGGGACCTCAGGTGCAGAAACTGAAGTGGCTCATTCTCCTTAGTTTATAGTACTTTAACATACTCAGCTCATGAACACAAACTTTTTAATAAATACAGCCTGAATTGTGATAGAAGTTAGAGTGAGTGATTTTAAAATTTCTTTCCTCCGTAAAATTTGCCTGTAACATCTGCATTCTAAAACTCGAGAGGATACGTGGAAGAGAAAAGTGGTTAAAATGATCCTTACCTTGAAAACTGTATGGTCAGTGTTACACATAGTGGAAACTTTCTGAGACTGAGAAGCTGTCTGCTCAATAAAGAAAGAATATTAGGGTTTTTAGACAGCAGTGGTGAGGGCTGAGGTTATTTTATACGGAAGGTTTTTTTAGGGAGAAAGAAAAAGAACCAGGCAACCTCTCTCAGCTTTTAATGGAGAAAATCCATGAATTATAACTTATCATGTTAGATACTTGTCTCTGTTCTAAGAGACTAGGCAAAAAGCAATGACATTTTCCAACTTTATTAATATTAGCCTGCTTTTGTTTGGTATCCTGAACGGGCTATTTTAGAATAAATGGTAGAGTTGTAAAAAGGGCAAAATTTACCCAAGAAATGAGAAGTACATATATATATTTTTTTGAAGTCAAGTATGGCAGAAAAAAAGAGTTGAGAGATCTTGATTAGTTTGTATTCTTCTGGGATATTATCATTTGTGCGATTGTCTATTTTTTTCCTGCTCTTTTATAAGCTTTTAAGGGCTTCCTCACCTTTTCATCTTCCACTGCTTCTAGCACAGTCTAGCACATGGAAAACATTCTATAAATGTTAGTGGATTCAAGCTACATTGAAGGCAAAGAAGAGGTATTTCAACTGGGCCTCATTTGGGGGAATAGGAGGGGGTCAAGAGATTGTCATGGAGATGGGAAGGCCTAGTGAACACTAGGGCACAACAGGTGGGCCACACGGACCATGGCACTGAGTGGGAGAGAAGAGTTTTGTGATATGAAACTGAAAAAGAAAATTGTGCTAAAACTTGAGAGGGCCTTGAATATAAACTAAGGAAATTCAGCTTAAGAGGAAATTATTACGTAGTTTTAACTCCAAGAGTAGCCTTATCAAAAGGTCCTTTAGGAAGATGCACCCCACCTGTGCTGTATGAGCTGCGTTAGAAGCTGTCTGGAGGTGGGGAGATCCGTTAGGAAGCCTTGTCGGAGTCCAGGCCTGAGAAGCGAGGGCTCATCTAGGTTAGTAGCAAAGGTAACTGAGAAGGAAGGAGGCATGAGGTAGGCATGAGACAAGTGGAGCTCACAGTTCTGCTTTCCTACTAGGACAACAGTGATAAATAGTGGTTTTGCTTTTGAAATCAAATTGTCGGTCATCTTGCTGCCCAGTTTTTTGCCAGATTGCCTGTCTTATCAATGTCTTACTTAGCTTCTGGTCCAACCAGTCTCCTCTTCCTTTTCAAAGCAGGTCCCTTTTGCTACCTTGCTGTGTTAATCCCATTCCCTCAAAAACCTTGTTTTCTCAATCTCTAAGCATGTGTTTTGTATCCTCACTTTCTCTCTACAGACCCCTTCCTCTTCCTCTCTTGAAACTGTTCACTCAAAGATCAGCATTTTCGAAAGCAGTGATCTTTATCGATGAATCCTCCTTCTGATCAGCTTGTCCATAGCGTTAGACGTTGGTAATTACCTTCTTTCGGAAGGGTGGTCCTTCCTCAGTTATAACCAACTCTCTTGGTTCTCAGTGACCATTCCTTACTCAGTTTTCACTACAAGAATTCTCCAAGGTTGTCCTTTGTTGTCTTCTCATTGTATATGCACATTCTCCTGGCTATTTCACCCACAACTAGAGGTGGGGTTTTTTGTTGTTGTTTTGCTTTTTTTACTTTTATTTAAAAGAGCCTAGCTACATTGGTCTAGACCCTTCTCCTGAGCTTGAGTTACTTTTCTGATTACCTGTTAGATTGCTCCTCACGGACCCACTCTTGCCACCTTTCTTCCCAAACATACTCACATTGGGCTCCTGTTTTCAGTAAACAGCATCACCATGGGGCCAGTT